CATTATGCGATTTGCAAGTACAGTTGTGCAATAAAAATAATCTCGACAGCCAAGCGATTTATCAAATCGTCGCGGCGCCTAACATACGCCTACTACCAACGTAAATAAATAATATTTAAAAAGTGACCCACTTTACATTAACGACCATGTTAGAACGGGAACACTAGAGAATGACCTCATTAACAAATTATGTACTTGAGTAGTGTTACGTGTGCCCTTCAAAATGACGATAGAAGTAGAATACTTCCTTATGTCATTGAAATACAGAGTATATTAGTATATATAGCCTCATCATCATCATAAAAGCCAAAAGATATCCTATGTTGAACATAGGTCACCCCCCCAATGACTTTCAGACCAGCTATTTGGACGCGATTTGCATCCAATTCCAGCAGGTCCCTGCGACTTTTATCAGGTTGTCTTTTGCGGCAACTATCCATAATATAGGTGATATAGGAAGGTAAATAAAATGAAGAAAACCGATTTTATGCCGTCATAAAACAATAGACACGACTGAACAGGATATAAATGGCATAGTTAACGCCTAGTATTGCGGACTCCCTTTTCCTTATATGTAGTTTTAAACCAAAGATCATAGTAAAAACCATTTTTCGTGTAATAAGGCAACAGTCATACAAAAGGTAGAAAACCCATTATTGTCATTCCATGTAGGAGGGGGACCAGGGGACCAGATTATTGCAGACACGGTGTTACAAAAGATAATTTTGTAACCGAAAAACCGAACAATGCTTTGCCGATTGTGACATGATACAAAGCTTCGAAAGATTTCAACAAGGAGTTTTAAAAGACAAACAAAAAGCAATTGAAACGGAAATTCTAAGTAAAGCTGCATCGTATGAATGGAATGGAAATCATTGAGATAAGAGTTCGTTTATCGGGAGCTGATAAATAAATCAATTATGTTATTGTATGGACGTGATCTCATGAGGTCGGTCGGCTCTAAACTGTGAGAGGCAGACTGTTAGGCGGCTAGCTATGGACTTGTTTTTTGTATTATTATAATGACGAATCTTTTATTGTGTCTCATTCAGATGGCTGAGTTGGTCAAAGCACGACGTATGACTATCGAAAGGATTAAATATCTGGATTGGCTGGAAAGTAAAGTAGATTAGATGACACTTCAGTTTTCCTTTACAGAGGTAAAACTAAAAACAGAAATTGATAATCAAGACCTGATATCAAAAGGAATGTTGTTAAGGCCATTTCACCAAAATAACAGGAAAATATACGTTAAAAAGTATTTACAAACATTTCGCAAATAAAGCTTAAAGAAGTTATAAAAACAACAAAAATTTATTGTTTATCGGTTACTCAGGGTTTTAAAAGAAAATAACAGATAGAATAGCCTTTAAAACTCCTCCTCGAATATTTACACGTCTATAACGTTTAGGCCTAGAAGTTTTAAGTGAGTCAGTCAAATTGTCTATGAATTGAACGCAAAAGTGAATGGAAATCCCTTAGCATTAAGTGACAATTTTTCCTGTGAACCTAGATTGGTTGCCTTTAAGGATAATTGTTGGTCATTTGGATTACTTACATAATCAGATCCAAGGTTTTGTAATGGTTATCTTCGAAAGGAATTGGATAAGAAATACTAATGATCACCTGGATTGTAGAAACATGACCAACTAGAGAGACAAGAATGAGGGCCGATCTGTTAATGTCCGATATTAGATTCCATACAGAAAGATACAGAGAAGTCGAATTAGACACATAAAATGGAAAAAACTTTCTTCGAGTCACGAGAATATCATACGAATCATAATAGTGAGAATATCTTCGTAAAAGATCACAAAATTCTGCACAAAAATTGGTTCAAAATGTTTGAAGACACCCAATTGATGAATATGATACGCAAACAGCGACGCTTAATGTCGCAGACTGTATCTAAACAAGAATGTTTATAAAAACATTTGCATAAAACATAATTGACACTCTATTGATATTTTTGACGATCAGACAAAGGCTTTTGATTGAATGCAATTGTTTGGTATTTTTTGGACAAACACAAAACCTTTTAACAATATACCCGAATATACGGACATTGACAATGGAGGTGTATTATGCGACTTTGAAGGTGTCGAGGTAAACTTTTATTAAAAACATCCGTTTAGAGCTATGGATAAAATTTAGAAAGAGGATATTCATAATTTAGAGTTGAGTGCTGTTCAAAATGGTAAAGAATTGCCGAAATTAGTAAAGATTAAAAAGCTTGAAGCGCAAAAATATTTTAGTCTGCATTAAGTAAAGATGAGCTTCGTCAATTCCGGAAAGAATACAGTGGTTGTTATGGTATAGAAAATACAGATTTAAAGCATGACTTAAAATTTTCCCTATATATTTCTTCATGCGCAAAAATTAACGTACACGGAAAACGCATCCAAAGGAACTTACTGATGCACTAAGATGTTTAGGAATTTTCCGAATCAAATAAACCACCCACGTCAGCCTTGAACTGGTTTTTATTTGATCCAGCAGAGACTTAAGTATTTAAATCAGCACAATATTTCTATGATAATATTTATGTTAATATGTAATCAGCACGTGTTGGCAATGAGGATCACAATTAATATAACTGTAAATATACCGTTATGATTCGGTAATATTATGACGTAGGATCCAGGGGCACAGATTATATTGTTTACTGATTCTAATTGCTCTGTTGGTCTAAGGATCATTGACTTTCGACACCCTGAATGCGGAAATGATTATTTAGTATTTTTGGGTATTATGGATTGAGCTACTAATCAATCTTATGTTACCTGAATCGGATTAATTTTACAGTCACGTTTAAATATAAATTGAGAACTTTATCTTGACGATTTACAAGGATTAAATGGAAAGGTGATCTTAAGAATGTCTGATAACAAATTTATAAGGTGATACTTATAATCGTACTATCACGAGTCAGTACAAAAGTATTTATGGCATTGCGTAAATCGGCAAAAATACATTACAAATGGGTTCCTTACAAAAGTCCTCTATTGTCCTTGAAGGTGAACTTTTTTATTATTTATTACGCGTTCGGGGATGGACTGCGACTTCTTATCATTATCACTCTTACTCCCCTGCGATACAGGATTGTCCTAGCGCATATCTAAATATACGAGACCAATTGTACGTACTTAGGATATATTTTTGTATTTAGCATTTTTGTTATTATGAATAAAGATTTTATTATATTATTATTTAGAAACAGATCTTTGCAATCTTACACACAATACATACGTAATAACAAAACAAGGTGTCTTCCTACACCTTCCAAATTGCATAGAATAGAAGAATTATTGGTTATTTTTTCGGATCTGTCCTTCTTTTATTAGCTTTCATGACCAAGCTCGGCAATATCAAATTACATTAGTTACTATTCAATCGATTGGATTCGTGTATGTTCCGCGTGTTTTTGGTGAAAATATTGATTCGATAGGGGCGTTAGATACTGATGAGATTGAAAGTGAAAATAATGAATATGATAACTTATTTATGGAAGAGAAAAACAGAAGGAAACCCGTGTAATGGTAAAGGAAGCAAAGTGATTTCATTGGAGTTTGAGATTGAAACACTCACTAGTCATTACTTACTTAGACATTTGATCAAAAATTACTTAAATGACAGAATCAACGAGGTACTTAACATAGAATAGGTAAACAAAGAAATATACAACTACATCAAAGTTACAACTTTGAAACCACAAAGAAAATTTTGCAAAAAATCTACTAACGCTCAAACTATTTCACTTTCATCAATCAAACATTAATTAGCAGCTGAATTCTTGAAAGCAGATGTCCGGTTAGCCGAATCCGAAGAGATCTTACGTCAGACCCTAAATAAAAGAGCGTGCAATTTCACAAGATATCATCGTTATGCAACGGACAAGATGAACGTTTAGAATTAGTCATACTTATGTCGTGGTGGTTAGTTTGCGGTTTTAAATTTAAGAGCTACTGATGACCACAACACGTGCCAATTAATAATTTTGGAATGCATAACCACATTGGAACTGCTTCATTGGTGGTCGGAAATGTCGGATGACAATTGGGAAAAAGTGGTAACGTAAAGACAAATGCAAAAAAATCGCATGTGTACATTTGCAATTTCTTTTAGGTTCTTAGTAATGGTAGACTATTTCATGGCCTTTTGGTAATTATGCAAAAAAATATCTTCAGGTTAAAACCTTTACAAGATTTTGTATAAGACTTAACGCGTAAACAATACAAACCTATAAGGAATTCCGTATTTCTATTCAAAAGTTGCGTCAACTTTAGTCAGGCTTTCGATTTCTACATGGCATGCTTTCGGAACATTTTGTTCTTATGCAAAAAGGGACGACAATATATGTTCATATGTTGCATAAGACATGAGGTATGATGAACTATGTTCTTACTTCTTTTTAGTTAAGGTTAAGGTTTGTTTAATAGAAAGAAATGTACACGAAGTAATAAAACAATTCAATATCGTGGTTTTCCCTATTTTGAGTAAATAGGGAAAACCATGGTATTGAATTGTTTTTAATCAGTATTTATTTGAGTAAAACTATCAAATGACGAATGTAAGAGTAACTGACAGTTTGGAAAATAAACATTCATCTTCCTATTTAAATTGTCAAGATCGAGGTAAGCGTAATTTTGTAGACCCTTCGAACCGGAACATGGTAATCATGGCTGATGACCGAAACTGTTACAAGTAGTTCTTACACAATAACTTCAAGCAGTAAAGACTTTATTGCTAAATTATGATGATGATCTACGACATTGTTTTCTACTTTTTCTTTGACAGTAATGTTTCCTACTTTATGTTTAAGATCACGTTCAGAATTACTGATTTTTAATTTACTAAATCAAAAGAATAATGATAATACTTATTAATTAATGGGTACCTAAGAAAAGATTAAGAGCTAAGTCCTCATATACATCAGTTATGTTTGTGATTACTTAGTCAACAGTATAGTCATTGTGTATTTGTATGTCTATCATATTTACCTTCGTCCTTCCATTGATCACGTAGTCACCCATTTTTCCATTGTTTGCCATCTTGTTCGCTCTCAGTATGATATTGTCAACCTGGAATACAAAAGGTATTAATTGCGTTTTGATTTCATTTCATGGAAAGAACTAATGGAACTGCCCATTACGCAAATTATGGAAACATTCCATATACACTAAATTGATATTAATTAGATTTTAATGGACGGTTAAAGTACAGGTAATGGGATTTTACACGATAAAACCTGTTATATTATCTTGTTCATAAAGGGTTATTAGATCAAGAAATTAATTACCACTAATAAATCATTTTAAAGAAGCATCTGTCATTGCACGAAAAACCTACACTTTTAGTGGCTGATGAGATTTAAATTAAAATTGAAAAACACAAACTTATTTTATCAGATTAAAGAATCGAAACAGGGCAATGACAGATAGTTGCATACATTGATTGTTCTGCATAAGATCAAAAATTTCTTTCCAAATATGAGTCTATAAAATAATGAATACTAATAAACAAATACAAATATTTACAGACGAATTGATTGCTATTTATCTCAACATCAATGAGAGTCTGGTAAACATTATATTTAATTCTCTTTATCTGATCAAACATACGTGCAGTCACGTCTATGATAAAAGTACACAGGTATGTAAACGTAGTAAAAAAAAATATTTATGTAACTATGTTACATATACACACATCATTTAAAAAAGAGAAAAAGAACCCTTAGAAGTACTAATAATTTGGCAGACAATGGAATGTCAAATATGGCACAATCTTTGGCGCCATAATATTTATCCAATGGATATCTGTCACTAATCAGTCGATAACGTTGTAAACGTCTCGCTGTAGGCATTATCGCCGTCACCTGATATTTCACTAATACCTTTAAGTTATAATTGTAATATTTTGGGGATGGTCCCACGTTTCACCCTTGTGAAACTCCTTTGAAGGACTCTTCAGACTTTCTCCTATCTTTAGTATCAAACCTTTTCGTACTGTTATTGCAAATGCGAATCGATGTATTTAGAATGTTTTATTCAAAGACATACTCAACGAAGCATTTAAGATATTTGAAAATCCTTTGGTTTGACTAACATAACCCAAAAATGTATTGACTACGAAAACATAATGTAAAGTAATTTAGATATTTGTTATTTTGACAGCAATTAGTAATTGTATGACCGGTCACGGAGAGTATTTAATATCAGTAATTAGTGAACATAATTTTGATAATTATGGCACTTTAATCACAAGCAGGGCGATACGACAAACGTAAAGAGATGACGTATTTATGATATCATTTTTATACAACTCTCGTAGTGATATTTTCGTCAATGGAAGTGAGGTATATGTATGAGGTCGAAAAGTCCAGATTGAAATGAAATTTTCTGTTACTACACCAAAAATCCCGTAGTCTTGTTTTGATCAGCATATAACAATGGGATTATTTTCCATTTTGGGCCAAACGTTCGGAGAACATACACTATTTTTTTTGGCTTTTATAGCAGGACAAGAAGAATACGAGGACAGGAGGAAAACTTTAGGACAGTATTCTGGAATATAAAGATTTATGACCTTGTAAAGATAACAAGGTAAGTAATAGAATGAAAAAAGGCATCTCTTCCTGCCATACAAGTTAATCGTACTGTGGTTAAAACGTCCCCATTTGAAGTCAACGATTTGCGGTTTAGCTGCCATATTAATGTTATAATATATCTACCTAGATGTAGCTCTTTCTATATTGCTAATACTTTTAGCAAATAAATGATGCAACGATATTTATTGTTGTGATAATATTAATACCAGATACGACAGGTTTCTCTAGCTGATAGCAAAGTTATTTGAGGGTGACTTTTGAATTAGCTTTATATTTTCCATAGTTGTGTTTTTCAAAGAAAGTAGGTAATACTTTGATTATACGATAGCAACAGATAATAAAGATTAACTAAAAAAAACAGCAATAAGACAAAACTATTAGCATTCAGAATATTTCATAATTATTTTCTAATATGTCATCAAAATCAGCGGAGTCGTTTAGGAGGAAAGGTAGAACAAACGTGCAAACATTCAAAAAGTACATCAGCCGACCCGAAAATGTGTAAAGAGATATCTCACGTGAATATACTGATAAAAGCTCTACTAGTTCCGAACCACATAGGGGTTCTTCCTCATGAGCATCATGACCATTCAAATTCATTTATTTGATGGCAGATCTCTGATCACCAAGAACCTTAGTCTTCCCGCAGGTGTTGTGAGAGCTGATTATGGACATATGTGTCAGGGATGAGGCATCATCGCTCCTGAACCTAAACTTTTTAAACTGCGATCATCAACTATCTAGACTGGAGATTAAGGCAAACCTTCTTATGACGAGGAGGCCGATAGTACAATAGAGGACTGTCCAGTGTTTGATGTTGAATTTGTTATCATTACAGGTACTTACAGGGGCCCTCGATACTACCATAAGTATAGTCTTAATCTTTTTGCGATTACAGCAACATATTTTTAGTTGCACATTGCACAAAGCTTATCTGTCAGTACTTAAGTATATTTGGCGACAATGAATAAATATTGGCGCATGTATCTTAGTGCAATAAAACTGATAATTATTTTAAATCCTAATTTATTAGTGAGTAACAGAGTAGTTAGTGAAAATATGGCTCATATTCTTTTTATTAGTTACCTATATTGAATTTGACTTATTATGGACCACAATGAATACACCAGTGTCTCTGAGACTCACCGGCGTAAGATCAATGAGGGCCAACTAGGCGATTCTGTAAGATTTTAACTTTCGAAGCGAACTCGATCGCATTCTCGTCCGTCATTGGTCGAGATGATTCTCACAACCAATGACATGGCGGACCGTGATCGAGTTCACTTCGATCTTTCAAATTGAAAGTTATAGATTAGCCTTGCTGTTTATAATGTTTAATTAAATTACTTTTAGCATAACTGACACATATTTCCTCGCATTTGTAGGTACTGAAAATATGAAAGATTACCGATCAGAGTACAATAAAATTAATAAAAAGTTTATGAAACCAAGTGTTAATATTATGCATCTCTTAAACTTCACCTTACACACAACTTTGGCAGTATTATAAAAAGTTCTAACAATGGATAAATTCTTGAAGAACATGTTTCAAAATTACTTATGGAAACAATACTTATTGCTTAAATGTAAGAAATGATTGTACTTACTTGACTAATTAACTGTCTGATATAGGTGCAGTTTGGTTCCTTGCCATCTATCCACGTAATGAGGTCACTTCGGATTGTTTGAGCTTCTGTTGTTGCTGAATTTGACCTGACTAGCTGACCAGCCTGTGTTGTAGAGAAATGTATTAGGAACATATTTACAAATATTTCTATAATAACTATCGTGAGACATACAAATAGTTTAACCAGGTAATTAGTTTGTAATTGTGTAGTAAGTAAACAATACTTTTTGTAATGATTTTGTTGTTACAAATTTTGACTTGATTATGAATTTAAGTTTTTTGTTTACAAGCTTGCTAATCTACTTAAGATTTGTTAAAAAAATGAATTTCTAGCTAAGTAACATAAAAACTATGTTTGAGTATAACAATTAAGAATAAAATTCCTAGATTACATTTAAAGTTATTTAAAAATAACATTTAATAAAGTAACTCTAATATTTTTACTTTGTGTTGAATGTAAGATACGGAAAGACATGTTTCCTTGGTATCAAAACTATTCATTTGAGATAATGACCTATTTCTATAGCACTTTGAATGTTCAAAATATATCTTATATGCTAATAAACTTATATTAACCAACTCAGAAGAGATTACATGCAACATGCAGAATTGTAAGTAAAAGGAAACATAAAAATTTAGGAAATGGTTATTATTTTTTCATGATTAATTAGTAAAAGAAAACAAGGTAATAACAATAAAACAGAACATAATAAGCTATGCGAGTTTCATTGCCAAGATAGAAGATATCATAAAACAGTTAAAAAAATAGTTTTGTTACCCAATTACCTACCTTAAAATATTGTATTAATTTGTTTTGAGTACTATGCGATCTAATGTTTACTATTTCTGAATAAACAATTAAAACTTAAACTTATTCTAACTTATTTACTTTACCATACAAATAAAATCTACTACTTAACTCGTCGAGTACCGTCATTATAGACACAATTATAGAACAATAGGTTGCGGTCACTGGTGACCACTTGGTGTTTGACAATTTAATTGTAAAAAAAATATGTACAGCATTTTTTATTTCGATAGAAATAGTTATGCCTGGTATATGGCAATACTTTTCCTCACCCTCTATAACATGGGACTCATAAATGAAAAGTGGGTGCTACATTTGTCAGGTATTTTGTTTTGATGTGAAGAGGTAAAGATCAAACTAAATGACATGTTATTGAAGAGGCCCATAAGTGTCTACCAGTGGAACATGATAATGAATTAGTGATGAATTTTGGGATAGATAGTTTTAGTCTGAATTACTACAGAACATTATGAAATATTCAACAATGCTTACACAATGTTGTTCTTAACTTACCATAATATTAGCTATAAACAGTTATAAGCCAAATAAAACAATAAACGAATAATAAAAGTATACTCACAGTGAATATTCCTGATCTATACATTTCTAACACTTCATTTAACACCATAAGTCCTCGTTCCCTGCCAAGGAAATTGTTCAGAACACAAACACCATACTGAGTCATATCTCTGATCACTCTGTGACAGATCTCATAACAAGAGTCACTCGGATCCATGTAGTAACTATTTGGCATGTGACTAAATGGTGCCCCACTGCCCTTCAGTGAGGCCTCAGGGTACTCCTTCGTCCTCGTACCCTGCTCCGCCCCATAGTTAGGCAGTACGGGCATGTTTGCAGTGTCAGTCCTGTTCACTGCCCGTAACACATTAGAGGTACTCGGCGCTGAGAAGTCCACGGTGCTCAGCAGCTGCGCAGTCTCACGCAACACCTCCTGCTCCGAGGAACCCTCGTAAGTTATGGCACTACTCGTCGACAAGTCGCGGTTTGTATACACTACACTAGATATCACACTACTGTCATTGTGCCCCGAGGCTTTCGATGTACTTGGCTCACTTTGTTTAACGTTCTCAGTTGATACTTGTGCGCTATGTTTACTAACACCTATCGTGCCAACTTCTTTATCACTATTTTTTACGGACTTCGAGTTACTTTTTTTTGAATGTCTTTTATTACTACTATCCTTTGAACACTCCTGGTGACTCTCCTCCGTGACGTTGGAAGTTCCGTCTTTCACTTTCTTCGTGGCTTCTTCACCAACTATCGTACGTTCACCTGAATTATCACTTTTCGTACCCTGCTTCGGTAACTTGGGTGCACACTCACTTTTATGTCTTTTCCAGTCTTGTCGTTGGTGGTCAGTATTACAATAATAAGTAGTGAGACAGCGACTACATCTCCGCTGAGATATCTCGTTGCAAACAGCGCAACAAGCGAGGCCGCCTCCTTGATTCATTCTAAATAATTTCTCCCTACGACCGGCCCCTGCGACTTGTCAACTGAAAGAAATGTCATCGCCGACGTGACATTTATGCGGAAATCAAGATGACGACTAATTATTACTTAAGACATTTTAAATTACTTCTAATTTACATTTATAAGTCTTTATCTATATTTTATTAATGTAAAGGATAAATATCAATTTAATGAACATTTTAAAAGTTAATACGTTAGTTAACTGACTACCAAAATATATAAGGCTAAAGATACACTGCCGGATTAGTAACATTAGTAAAATAGTAACTTTCGATAACAAAACTGACTATTACATAAACTGAACTCAAAGAATGTTGAGTTTTAATTGTTAGAATTTCTAATTATTCATTTATTTCTCTTTTTTGTTAACAACAATAGATAAAATTCAATGATAAAATAATACGGTATTTTGACAACTAGTCTACATATTATTTCGAAACAACAGTTTTCTGTGAATATAATCCGAGACGATGTTGTGAATTGTGACGTCACGTAATTTTTAGCGTTGCTTTGCTTTTGTCATTATTAATGCTTGAACGCTCTTGGTGGGAAATAGGTAGTAAGAGAGCAGACTGGGTCCAAGCGTATCCGATGGCCTGCGGGCGTATCCGACCGGTTGTAAGCGTATTTGACCGGCTTCACGTGTATGGGTTTCAGATAATTTCTCAGCGGTTTATGTGAAATAGTTGGTCAATGTGCTCCTCCAAGCGTACTTACCTACACGACTTGAAGAGAAAAATGCACACCGATAAAGATAATAAATAGGTATTTTATCTTTCTATGACTGTGCAGTCATCAGTCAACAGTCAATCAGTCAATCTATGGGTTGTTGGCGGGTGTTGTTTTACAGTCTTTGGCAATTCGAAACTGATTTCTATAGCAGGTAGGTAAAAGTAAAACACCTTTTATAAAATTATTTATTTATTGAAATTATTGAATACATATGAATAAATTCTTCATTTTATTTCGATACTGTCAAAATGGGTGCTTTGATTAAGGAATTATGTAAATAAGCCACGGTTAAAAATAAAAAACCTTGTGGTTATGGATCTAACTTAAAATTAGGGATGAACTATGAAAAGAAAAATACTTGTGGAATGTGCATATTTACGACTTACGACTGATGAAGAAAAAATATAAATGAAACTTAAATACATATTTAAACTTATTTACAAATACAAAAGAAATACAATTTGTGATAATAGAATGATGTGATGAAAGGGACCATGAATAAAAACAGACTAGATTAGTTCTACGTCGAGCCACGTTCTTGTTTCATGCACATCGTTTTTAAGATGTGGTTGATAATATTATAATTTAAAGCAGAAGTGTGTTGAAATATAAGTTTGTAATTTAAGTGAAGGAGATCGAGACTCAACGAGAGGAACTAAAGAATGCGTAAAGGCGCGCGTAGTTTAAATTTACGCGCGCCTCTGCGCTTACTTAATAATAGTTACTTACACTAATATAAAACATAACAAGATACGTTTCTTTAGAATCATAAAAATTATGACATAACGCACACCGATATATTTTTACTATTCATATAGGTGTGTCATAGTTTTTACAATTCTTACATTTAACAAGATACTTTGGGATAGTTACAATTTTCTCTATAGTCTAAGTATTATTATATCATCAATTTTATTTACAAAGAATATTGTAACTACCTCAAAGTTCTAAAGATACATCAGAGATTCTTTCAGGAGAATGCGACCATCATCTATCAGTCTCTAATAATATTAACGTCCACCATTGACATTAGTCACAATGTCCTTTTTTAAACTTATCTCTGTACTTACATTTCAAATAGAAGAAGGATATTTAAATTTATTAAAGTATTAAATCCTTTACTTCACCTTTAATGAGACGTATGTATTTGAATAACTATAAAGTTTTATAAAATATTAAATACAGAGATAAGACAGTAATTGAATATAACTACGTTACTCAAATTCTAGCCAATATTATTTTGGACCCTATAATTACTTTAGTACCTGTACTATCGTTACAATAGCTTCCTAAACGAGTAACGCAGGCTTTAATTATCCATTTTTATTACAGTACTGAAGTAACCACTTGTATAATACCACTTCTACATAGATATGACTTACTATAAATAAATATTAATCGGTCTACCTGTTCGTAACTATAGAGAAATTGTCATTGACATGACATTATAGGTCAAGTGTTTTATTTTAGACAATATTCCTAAGAATTATTTAATTTTAGTAATTGTGTAAATTTTATAAGTTCAATAAGTAAATAGAACCGTAATACTTGAAGTCAATAACTAGCAGATAAATTCGTATGTGCTGCGATAGTCTGTTCCCGGCCTTACAACTTTATTGTCACGAGTCCAAGTGTTTCAAATTATGAAATTAATACTTGGCAACCCTATCAGTGACAGTAAGTTTTAGCGGGAAGTTTGAGTGGTCATATCCATGTTCTACAGTAAAGTTTTAAAGCATTTTTGTCTTAAGATTACAGTTATACTCTTGTTTGGTCATCGTTTTGTGGTGGGACAGGAGGAGGAGGGGCATGTAAAACTCTCGCTAACTCCGCTTTCTCGTCAGCGGAGAGGACATAAACAGGAGGAGCAGGTGGCAGAAACCGCTCGGCTTTCTGTGGTTCCCGTTGTAATCTCGCGCGGTATAGCATCACAAGGACACATAACACGCTGATGATGAAGGCTGAAGTAGCAGCTAGTACTATAAGTGCAGTGTGATATGAAGTTGTAGCGGAAACCTGGTAAGAAAACAAACATTTTAATGTAGTCATTTTGAAAAGTATCATTAACAATAAATGCAACTAGTAAATTTGTGCTCATTGCCGAGAAAATCAAGTTCCTTAATACTTACAGTGGATTCGCTCAGTATTTCTCGTTGCTGCATCGCAGATCGGGTAGGTGTAGTAAGACGGTACTCGCTTCGTATGACGTCAGCACCCAGTATCATTTCATCGCTTGATTTTTTATATCCTGCTACTTTTTCTTGTTTCACCTGCATATATAAAATAATATAGGTATATGAGAAGGTGTTCTAAAGAGGTTAAAGGTGATAGGTGAAAGTAATCAGGGAAATTATTTAGTGTCCTGCAGCCAGACTAGTTACGATCTCGGAAGTAGCAATATGGTTACAATTCCTACTAAAGTCTTAATCAACAACAGCTCGTTAGCTATGTCTAGAAGTAAAAGTAGGGTAAGGTAGGAAAATATAATATTATAATAAATGAAGAACATCAGTGGTAGGGCGGTTCCCATTGGAAACGCTCAAGATTAATAATTCATCAAGGTCAAAACAAACAAGGTAAATAAATCATCAACCAAAATACAGGGGATAGAAGAAGAAGTAAGAGTTTCTCACAAGCATACCATGTTCTCGATATGGTAGATGTAGTCGACGGCGTGTGGGCCGGTTAGCACTGTGCGCAAGCGCAAAGCATTGCGTTCCCGACTGCTATGGACGGGAACACGAGCTCCAAGCGCTGCTAGCCGCGCTGCTAAAGCTGCACGCGATACTTCTGCCCTCGCTGGCTCTACATTCACTAACTCCAACTCCAATATTGCTGTCTCTACTTGTGTTCGCTCTGTAACCAATTCAGAATTGTTGATAAGTCAAGAATACAGGTGGTGTCTGGAAACAGGTGATGATATTCTAGTCGATTAACAGTTTTCAGTTCTAGCTGTTTTTCTTAAGTTGACTTTCTGAATCTATGGCTATTGGCTTACCACAAGGATCTGGTGCGGGCGCATCGTTGATTACTCCCGCGTGATGTCTTCTTTGTCCTGCGGCATCCACGCACCAGCATCGACCCCGAGAGCATTGTCGTGGTGAGAATTCACCGTTCTCTAAACAACGAGGGCGCATACCTTCCGCACCTGTTAGAAGGAAAAAGAAACTTGTAAATTTTGAATTATTTAGTTAACTTTGTTTTGCTAAAAATAATCTTTGTCTAAGGATTAGTACTCTTTTAAATAAGTATTTTTTTGGATCTGCTTCCAACTTACCATTCTCAATTTCTTCTTGCATCATCTGACACTTTGTTTTAAATATCAATTTATCTACATTCACTTCCAGATTTTTCTCAAATTTTCTCGTAGTGTCTGCTAATTTTGGTTCTACGATCTCCGATACTACCACAGGTTCGTCTTTCTCACTCGTTTGTTGAAGTAGCTTGTCTAAAGATTCCTCGTCTCGAACCTCAGCTTCGAGTTCTAAATCATCTTCAACGTCATCTTCGTCGTCATCGTCGAAGTCGTCCACTCTGTAGGCAGTCATTTGTCTGATGAGTTCTTCGAGCACTGGAAAAGGAAATTGAGAAATTAGCCGATTTTTTTTACATTTCAGGAACTAGGATATCTAATGATGTCTGTCTAAAAACATAGGTCTGTGAATATAATTCTGCATGTCAGTGCTTTTAATGTCCTTTCCCATTTGTTTGACCTTAATCGTCATTACCTTCGTCAGCTCTAGCTCGTTCGTCGAGCGGGTCTCGCGCCACCCATTTGCGTGCTTGTCTGAAGTTACATGCGGGTTTGGCACCTCGTACTAAAGAACCCTTGAGGGGTTCACCACGGGCACTTACACACCAACAAACGTCTGGGAATAAGGGAACAAGTTAAAATAATTACATTTTGGACCAGAAGAAAAGTAAATACTAAAATTTTAAAACGGACGCTTTACTTACCAATATGTGACATACACTGTACTGATTCCCAAGCACCACTGCCATCACACTTTGGAATAAACGTCCCTTTGCCGTACTTCTGCGCAGCTGCCTCGTTCTTCTCTCGTAGTCTCTCACAAGGGCTCAATACTGTATTGTGGAGAAAAAATATATTTAACGATTTGTTAAGAAGGATTTCGTTAACTACTTTTACTACCGATTGGTCAGGTCTGATATTATCTAAACTACTCATCTTCTACTCACTATAGTTTTCACTAATCCACTAAAAATTTGACATTTCGGCTTCATTAGCTAAAGCTAAACATCTAAACATCTACTTAGCTCTCCCATGCTTTTTCTGGATGATTCGATGTAATTTAGTTATGCTATTTTAACATGCTGTTAGAATCTAAAGTGCACTAAATATTTGTGATGTTAACACAGGTGGGTGGGCTCTTATAAATAAAACATGTATATACAAAAGAAATAACGACATGCCTTCGTCTTTCAATATCTGGCTTGTCTTCCTTTTTTTACTTTGCATTCTTGTAGGTTCCCCTTCCACTGTTTTAAAAGATAAAAGCAGCTTAGTAAACGCACTAAACCCTTAGAGCTAAAGTGGACAGATCAACTTATATTATACACATAACTTATTTACAAAATGCTGTTTAGGTTTTAAATTGTTTGTAGAACGAACAAACAAACGATATTATGTAACATGGTTTGTGGAATTTGGGAAAGGGGTTCAGAAAAATTGTGTAAAAGTATGTTACAGAATCGAAACCATGCACCGAATAAGAGCAATTCAAAATTAATGTAGAACTTACCAGGGCATACATTATTGCACTCCTCTTTCGTCCTGAAGTTGTTGTGGTTTCCGGAACATCCATGATACTTGAACCTCTCGCAACGGTTGCGTGCGTGGTTGAAGTGCCATCTTGTCGTGTTTAGGACATCACCTTCAGTGCAACTGCCTTCATCTTTGTTTTCGAAACATACCGTGCCTGCGAATAGCAGAAGGAAAATGTAATTCCCAAAGAATTTGATTTAGTCTACCTATGATAAATACCAATAGCGAATATAGTATACCTATGATTTCCTATAATTATTCCCACTACTTACATACGTAACTGACGGAAACTAGTCTTAAACTTCTTGTTTTTTTAAATGTTATTTTTTCTGCCAAATTCATTGAACGGATTACTTACGAGGTTTGGGACAGCAGACAGACGGTGTTGAATCATGGGGAGCAAACCGACAGGCGTGGGTGGAAGGACAAGCTGCTGCATTAGGTCCACACAGCAGTGGCCCTGAGCCGTCTGGAGCTTGAAGTGGATTGTGACCATCTGGACACTGCGGTGCTGGGCTGCAGCGCGCTAGTGGAGGACAGGAACTACCCTGGAAAACCAAATGAAAATGATGTTAGTGATAATAAAACATTAACCTCCTAAACGGCCATCTGATTAGTTATTGAGGTAAATATGATTAGACTATAAAATTCTTCGGGGGGTTCAGAATAGATTCAATTAGACGCCATTTCGAATAGTAATTTTAATAGGTTTGCTCTTTTTGATGAGGCGTAATTAAAGAAACATTGTGTTGTGTCATTTTACCTCACACTCCAAAGGTACAAGTTCGCAGGACTCATCCTTTCTGCATTTGGCTTCCGCGCAAGGATCCTTACAGGCGCAGGTAGGACATCCTTTGCTGTCCAACTCCCAACCGTGGGCACACGTCACCACGTCACAAGTTGGTTGAGCACACGGTATCGGTGCATCACAGTTCGGCGTGGAGTTCGTTACTCTTGTACCAAGAATCTGATGGAAAAAGTTTTTTCGTTCAAACTATAAACTTTCAAACAGTCATCATTGATATTTACACGAAATCAGGCTGAAGAATGACAATACGCAGTTTCATATACATATAAAGACATTTATTTAGTACAGGTAAGTTGTAGTATCGCGGTTCCTTACCCTGGTTTGGTTTAACTTGAAAAATGTAATCTATTCTGATGAATAGAAAAGGCTAAAACCATTTTTCTATTATGAAATAAAACGACACTAACCTCATTACCAGCAGTGTCGACACACCAGCAAGACTTATCAGATCCTCTGCACTGTATAGGGACGTAGGCGCCATCCTCTTTACATTTAGGTATCCATGTCCAGGCTGGTGGACTACCGCTCTCAGCCGCCGTATGGAGAGCTAATGCTCTGGAAAATTTATTTTGTCCATTAAAAAAGACTTATTACCAGGTAAATAGTATATCAATAAGCTGATATGATGATCTGATGATAGATTAAAATTTAAAAGATAACAATTTGTTACTTATCATTATCACACTCAGTTAGAACATAACATAAGAATTTAAGCGTAAGTTATCACAACTAGTGTACCTTCTTTGCTGACAAGCAGTTTGGTGTACAGCTTTCGTGCAGGCAGTACCACAACCGGTCGCGCAACATCTTTCAGTAGGCCCACACTCCGCGTCCGTCCTACAAGACCACTCGCAGGCACCGTTTGAAGGCACTAGGTATGGACACTGTCCTGGTTTCTTTGGAAGACCTTAAGTATATAAAAAGGTGATTTTTAAAGAGTATTCACGAAATATCAACAAAGACATTTTATTTACAAGAAAATCAATAAGGTATACAACATTAATATCATTAATTTTTAACAACTCACAAGCAGGCACAGGTGGACAATAATCTGCATCGCAAGCGACATCTACAGTTGCGCAAGATCGTCCGACAGGACACTGCACTCCTGCGCAAGGGTCACGGCATTTACATGTAGGACAGCGGCCTGAGCCTAGCTCGAATCCGTAGTCACAGCCCATTCGACATGTCATCTCCAGACAAGAAAGATTTGCACGAACACTGTTGGAAAACAATTAAAATGAACCATGAAGTACTTATAATAAGTAATTGACAAATCTAAGTCAACGCCGAAATTTTTGCAGTTAAAGCCGGCTTTATAGCGTTTTCAAAATACCATACAAAATGAATTATGTAGTAAATAAGAAAGCATCTTACCTATCACAGTCCACAGCTGAAGCATTATTGGTGCTGGTCTCCGGTATTTCCGTACCGAAAGTATCAACGCACCAACAGCGGCCGTTAGCGCACTGTTGCGATGTGAAGGACCCGTCAGACTTGCAAGTTGGGGCTGGTAACGCGAGCTTCATGCCGTCTACCGTGCCTTCCATCTTTTCGTCAAAATCGCGGAGGTATTCGCACACTGAAACGGTTAAAAGTTACACAAATTATATTGATTTTATGGAGTACATTTAAAGACCTCCGAGGATTTAGCCTTAAATGAGTGTCTAAAGATATTCTAAAAAGTTAAAAGTGCTTACTTGTAGGTGATTCGTCCACTCTTTCTGATTGCAGTTTCATTTTAATAGGATCTACACACACTGGCCCACAGTTGACGGTGGAACAGCACACCAAGTCGTTATCGCAGTCACCTTCGAGGCAAGACATAGTAGAGTTGAGACCACATTCCGCTTCTGCTTCAGGACCACAGGATTCGAAGTTTACCTGGAAAATTTTAAAGTCAAACTTATAAACAAATCAATGTAAATATTTTTAGGAATTTGAGGATTGGAGAGATTGGAGAGACGGTAATCTCGTAAGCCTGCGGTAACTTCATTCATACAGCGAAACACAATGCAAGTTTGTACAAGTTGCTTACCTCTATAACATCAGGTTCAGTTGCGTTACTGAATGATAGAGGATCTAGACAGCACACACCACTGCTTTTAGATTTCGTGCAAATATGGCTTGTTGGACAGTCAGTATCCACCTGGCACTCTTCTGATGCACCATTTGCATCAGACACTGGAACACCTAACGCACATGGGTTCTCGTATGCTACTTTTGGCCGACCTGCAAATGCAAATAGAAGAAAAAATGAATAATAGTATAAATTTACTTCGACTTAGTTTATTATAGTGTCGTTAGAAATGTGCTTTTATCGATTTATTTTAAGCCCAAAGTACTTACAAATTGGATATCCTGAACATAGGTCTCCAACACATTGTGCTTCTTTAACCCTGATGCATTCCTCGCCTTTCGGGCAGGGGTATCCAGCGCAAGGGTCATCACATTCGCAAGTGGGACATCCATCAGCACCTGTTTTATATCCATATTCACACACAGCAGCACACAACGCTCTTGCACAGGAATTTAAGCTGCGAGCTCCAATCCGAACTGGTAGAGGTGTTGAGGAACATTCTACTGTTGAAGATGGACCCATTGATCCTCGAAGCTTGTTACCGTCTGAGTCGACACACCTGGAACAAGACAGTATATATAAATCGGTGCAACTACTGAGTGATAAGTATGTAGTTCTTTTTCCTGTATAAGTATTACAACTAACCAACAAACTAATCCATTTCTTGAGCACTGTCTTGAAATAAACGACCCATCTTCATCACACTGCGGCACATAACCGCGGCCCTCCTTCTCACTTACAACCAAAAGTTCCGCTAACATCTTTTGCTGAGTACACATTGTTACGTTGGTTGGTAAAACGCAGTGTTTGCCACATTCACCACCATCGCAGCATTTCTGCATTGAAGGACATTCCAAATCGTGGGCACAGGGAGTTCCACATCCCTCGTTGGAAGGTGCTGGACATGTTCCGGCTTTTTGGAGCTCTAGAGATGCAGGACAACATACGCCGTAGTCGTTTCCTGTAAACAAATATTACGTTTGTATAAGAACCGATAAATGATGGCTAATGTAATCACGTCAAATACTATAAAAATCTAAATTACACAAACCTGATTCAACAAGGCATCGGTACAAAGGTGGACAATTGGGTTTCCCAGGATCAGTACCGCATAGGAAAGGTCTACTGGTCTCCGATATCAATAGGGGTTCTCCCACAGGGCAGAGGTTCATTAGACTACGGCCGCGTTTACCTGTGAAATCAAGGTTATCGAAGTTACTCATACGGAACAAAGACTTGTATTTGCATTTCTGCTGTAATAACGTGCAATACTACATAGTTATTCATAATTCTTACGTTAAGTTTATGTTTCATTGGATTGGTATTTAGCATACCGTCATATCGGTTTACGAACATCCTTGTTTTGTGAATACGTAATCTAAATATACCGACATTTTGTTTTGTTCCACTGACTGCACTTTCTGACGAATTCCATATGTCATTTAAGATAATGGATTTTTTTTTTACTTTATGATAGAGCGAATGCGAAATCCTTTACTTACATGTAGGTATAGGTGGACACGGTGGTCGAAGGCAAGGAGCTTCCTCTAATTGACAGGACAACTGCCCGGGGCAAGTCACAGTGGAGCAAGGATCCCTGCACTTGCATAGTGGACATCCACGTTGGTCCAGCTCGAAGCCCAGTGGACATAGCATCCTACATGTGTGTGCAGCGCAGGGTGCAACTCGTGTGCAGTTGACTAGACTTGCTGCAGGAGCCCTGGTGCCTGGTAACTGGAAAATAAAATAAATGTTTAAGCAAAATTACTCTGATAAGTATTACTTTCATTTGCTCAGAAAACCAACTCGTATGGCGACATCACACATCAAATCAATTTTCTCGGCGCTTTTGCGAGGTTAATGTGTTATTTAACACTGTCAATGTTGGTGATTTGAAGAGAAAAAAAGGCTACTAATATAATTATAATCAGAAATATATTTTACGTTTTAAAATTAATTATTCTACATAGTAGTAGACCTCACCTCAAATCCAGCAGCATCAACACACCAGCAGGTGCTAACAATCTCATTATCACACTGGATCTCCTCAAACTCTCCATCTGTGAACCTGCAGCGAGGGGTCCTCATAGGGGGAATTCTGCCTCGGCCACCGCGGCTGTTGTCCGCAGCTAAGGCTCGAGATATCCTCTCCGAAGACAATTTCACGTTCTCACATCCTGGTAGAAAGTAGGTACAAACAAGTTAAGTTATTGCTTAAAGGGGTAATATGCATAGTTTCTCAGCTTAGTTATACTGTAGCTATAAACTTTCTAACTAAATAGAGGAAGTTGGGGCTGCATTAATTGCTTTAGTAATTGTATGTCCGCTTGTTTCATTTATTTACTTTGCAGCAGTTGCTGTTGCTTTGTAGCAGTTTGTTTATGTGATAAACTTTACCTGCCTGTACCCTGCAGTTCTGTTCACTCGTGTCTCATATTTGCATAAGTATAATTGTAACTACTGAGGATCCTTAAAGCAGGACTATCCTTAGCATAACGATCTCAGTTACCAATTTGGACAGTGGAGGATAGATGGTAATTGGTAGGCTACATGCATAAATAGTGACCCATTTGTATTTGATTAGGTTGAAGGCTGACCTCAGCCTAATTTAGTTGGTCTGAATTAGATGATTATACCTGTGAAAAGTGGGTCGACACAAGCTTGTCCACAACTAGTTTTGCAACATATTTTCTCCCCGCATTGGTTGTCCGAAATGCATGGTATCGCACGCGCCGGACATGCACTTTCTTCCGCTGGACACCGTCCTCTGAGCTCCGCGCTTGCTGTAAAAATGTGGGTAGATGTAAGTTTGCATTCTCATTGTATTTATCAAGTACCTGCATATTATTGAAAAACCTTTGGCTTCAAATTGCTGAGAGTAGAGTTAAGTAATCTGGGGCAAAAGATTGGCAACTAAATCGATAAGAATCGATATAGCTCGGGTAGGTAAATGTGTAGAAAATTGGCTGATAGGTTTAATTAACGCGGCCGATTAATTAGTGTAGTAACTGGTGATTTATAGGCGTTATATTACGATATGAATATTGATGATCTTTTGCGGTTTTTTGGATGCGTTTATTGCAACTAGATACTGGCTATATAGGTATTGAATTTATAATCACGAATACTAGGTGAATGTAATGAAATTTAAAATTGGAGAATGGATATTAATTATTGTAAGAAATAAATAATTATTTTGTACTTACCGTGCTGCAGTAGCAGTGCGCAAGCGCAGAGCAGCGCCGCCCTCACCGCCACCGACATCGCTGCATCACACACGCGAATGCTGCAAACAAAACACACTCGTTATGTCTCTGAACAATACCGAAATATTTCATTCTATCAACACGTTTTTATTTCAATTAAAATTAATGCTTTATTGTCTTTACGACGATTTTCCTCGAACCAGTCAACTCATAGCCCATCAGTAGGCACTTAAATGAATACAATGCATCATTGTCAAGATGATTTCTTTATCTGATCACGTTTAAATATGCAAGAGAGGTCCTCGTAGCATTTTTATTTAGTACTTGCGCCTGAGTCATACAAATCGTTCGACTTGGACAAACATGGGTGTCGGCCTTGTAGCAGAATTTTATTTGGTACCATCGTTACATTTTAATTATACATAAAAGTCTGATACATTGTAGTAATGTAGTGGTAATATACAGAACATGATGGACGTATGTCCATCACATGGATTTCCTAACGATTTCACCAGCTTGTTTGCAGTATTACGTATGTTCTAGAATTCTAAACTGGCTAGCTTCGATCAAGGTAATTTATTAGGTGTGATATTGTAACTAGAATGGCGCTAATGCAAAAGATCATTGTTCTACGAAACGAACACTTAACAGATAATTATTCATTTACTTTTTATAGTCAACACAAAGGCAAAAAACCAGGAAACGAGGCGTGAAAATGTTTATATTGTTATCTTGCTTTGTAGGTTGTGTTTTCATAAAAAAAACAGGTTAAGATTAAGATTAATGATAGCAGTTTAGGGGGAAAAGGTACTTTTACTTGAACTGTCTACCCAAAAAAGTTGCAGACATAACGAACGAACCAGTCAATCACGTCTTCGTGACGTGTGCACATACAGACAGTATGGTTCTACGGTTTGAATTCCGAACGTGCGCGCATGCGTCCTCGCGCCACTTCACGGTTACGTACACCGGGCTTTCCCGCGCAAGCCGATGCGCAAAGAATTTATTTTATTGTTCTATAATTACACAAAACTGTTTTTACGTATCTGAGTAATTTGTCGGCGTTGTTGCACTCATTTTTCCCCTCATATTGTAACCATTTCTTTTATTGTATTGTTGTAAGGAAATGACGTAACTGCCGAGCCCAGCATGCTAATTAGAGATTACTTTCTCCGATTTTAGTTTGAGTTTAACGTTCGCCGGTCATTGACTTTTGCTCTATGACAGTGCATTATAACTTGATAGATAGACGATCATAAACATCTTGAAACAGAATACCTTTTGTAAGAGTACGAATTTGAGTTACTATACACCTGCAACGCAAATAAGTGGCATGTAACTAGGTCATTATCAAATTGCGAATGATTCATAGATGGCAAGTAACTTTTACTTTCTCCGAGGTATTTGTTCTTATTTAAATATTAGATCTGTGGACCCTAGATATGTACAATTGCACCTAAATTTTTGTTTACTCTAATCATAGTATTTTCGTAACTAGATTGAGTCGGCTTCAACTAAGTAAGTAGATTTAGCTGAATGTCAGTCCCTTTTTTATTTTAGGAGATTTCGTCATCTTCCTTCTCTAACTCTGTCAGTAATCATAATCATGATACCTTTTGGTTAGACCTTACGACAGTTATTTATTTACCTTTCAACTAGAAATAAACTCTATTAAGAAGGTAATTTTCTTTACGAAGTTTCTCTTAGAGAATAGTTATCTTTTAAGCGCCACAAAGGCAGTTAGTTGACTCGAAGTCTTCAATAGCTTCAATATTATTCAGATAGAATATCCGTTGGATTAGTTTCGTTGAAGTTGAAAACCGAATATCTAAAGTTCGGCAAAGCGTTAGCTACGCTTCTGAAACTTCAGTAAGGTAACGAACACAAACTTACTTATATCCAAGTATCTAAACTAAGTTTCTTTTGAAGAAAATAATACATTTGATGAAGCGGACTAACTTAACGGGTTTTATGAACCGTGGTCGGCATTTCTATTTATTTTCTACGAGTATTGTTACTGGAGCTGCGAGCTCTAGTTTTTAGTTTAGCCAATTTGAATTACTTACTAAATTAGAGGTACCTACACTACCTACCTGTACCTTTGTGAAATTAGTTTAAGTAATTACTGTCACTCTTTGTTTTTTCCACTCAGAGACTTCCAATACACAAATGTATTAAAATTAAATAAGATAAACCTAGGCTGTATTCACTTCAATAGACGCAAAAGAAACAATAAGACGCAGCTATCCAAGAAATGGATCCATTTAAAGTTAACCGCTTATCCACTCTATTGTAGCAACAAACTAACTTAATATAATACTCTATCCACGAAGTTTCTATCCGCATCGAGATTCGACGGGGGAATGAATCTTGAAAATACAACGTCATACGCGTATCATAATCGTGAGATCTTTCGCCATATTCCTACATTTCTCTTGGTCACGTCGCGTCGCCAAGTCATGTCGTAAGTGAGGAGTGAGTGAACTCCGTGATGACGTGTATGACGGTGACGCAACGTTTGGTGAAAGGCGACCAGACGATAGTTTTAATGCATTGTGATGCATCTAGTATTTTATTTCGTCTTTTTCGGTCATTCTAGAGAAATTTGCCGTAGGTATTTGGTGTCTGAAGATATTTACGAAATTTCAGAGAATAATAGGATATTTAATAGCCATTTAAAAGTTGCGTGGGTGGTCTGTCGGCTTTTACAAAAAGTTAATTTAGTAACCGGAGACTAAAATTGAATACAGAAACATTATGAAGAAAAAGGTTTTCAGGCAAAATTTAAAGTTAATGATAGGTTGCCAACTGATCTGCAGCTAATTTATTCAAAATGTTGTTGTTTTAACAAAAAAGGGCACTGCCATTTTATTTCATTGTCTCATCTGCATTACAAAGGACAATGGAATCATAGAGTCGTCGAGCTTCATTAAAGAGATACTGAGAGGAGATCTGGGAAAGGTCGAAACAAAATCGTACCTAAAGAAAATACAAGGAAAAATGTAAGAAAACACGTGCAGAGTTTGTCATGTAAAGTCGAAATTCCTTTGTGCAGATTCCGAAAGAGAAATAGTAAAAGTTTAAAGTCAATGCGCTCGTAAAAATCGACAAGTCCTCGATTGAGAAAGTGAGTTCACGAGGGTTAGAGCTTGTAGCAAAATTTGATAGCTTGCTTTGGATCATTGATTCGATTCGACACTTTGCTTTGTTTTACAGAGCTCTGGATGGTATTGATCGACACAGCTGACGAGGTTCGTCAGTCAGCGTTTTACATTTTCGATGCAGCATACAATTTACGTCTCCAAAAGATATTCAACGCTTCGACAACGTAAGGGCTAGGCAACTATTGCACATTCTGCACAATATTTCATCATATTCTGCTGTATTATTTTATATAACTATACTTGATTCTAAAACGATAGGTGATTATAGCTAATATTCCTAACCGGTTCACTGCTCTTCATTTATCACCACGTGACATAATCTATTCACTAAGATTGAGTAAATCTATTGTTTTATTTCAACGGACGAGTAGTTGTTGTGTAAACAAATTGCATAATTATCTGATAGCTAGACGTTATAAAGACAACATTGCGTAGTGTATTTGATACTACAATTAAAATATAGAAGATGTGTGTTTCGAGAAATTTCTTTAAATTGATTTTGGGAATAATTGACAGTGTATAATGATGTCATGTTAAGAATTGTGGCCTTTTGTTCAGCTGTGAACGTCTTTCGATCACAAGAAACAGTTGAGAATTTTGTGGGTGAAATGATGATAATGAAGTACCCACCTAAATCAATTGGTTTAAATTCTGAGGAACGACGAATATCCACCAGGATTAGAACGAGATTGATTGGGGACCATTTATCAAACTAATTAAGGAGCAACAAAAAAGTTTAAAAATGCTAGATTGCTTTTTCATTCGCTGTTGGACATTTCTTCGCTTAGCCATTAAACTAGTTTTAATTAATACCTATGTAACTAATTATATTATTTATCTCTATAAAGTTATCACTGGACTGTTTCATGATTAATATATTTTTATACATACCTATACCTACGTAGGAATCTAACACCTATGTACGTACATACGATTACAAGGGCCACATAATATGCATGTAGTAAGTAGGAAGACAGGTACCTATCTATTTCAGAATGACTGCACCTTGTACACGTTACCGAAGGATGCTGTAGCCCATTTCAAACAAACAACTCCCAGGGGTTGTGAGAAGATAGATTATTTTGTGTTAGGTGGAAACAAGGTGCAAATTGGCATTGCTTTCGTATTCTAAAACGTTCTAAAGGTACCTAACTGTTACCTAAATATTATTTTCCAGTTTTCAATTTAAGATTAAATTGTGTTCATAAAACCAAACCAATGAAGTTTTATTTTTAAAGTGACGGCTACTAAAAGTGGTCTGCAATAAAATCTAACAGTATTAATTAGATTCACTCGTTGTTTATGTTATAGCTGGTCCCTACAATAAAAACAGGAAATTTATATAAATAAAATCATGGAAGTGGACAATAAAATTAATTCAAACAAAGCGCATCGCATTCAAATGGAATTTTCAAACGTAACTTTATAAAACGAGGCATAGAAAGTGAATTTAAAATATTCAAAATGGATGACATGAATTTGGCATGGCCGTGATGAATTTTACTAGATACTACAGCGTCTATTTGAATTTTATTCATAAAAAATGATCACCTACAAAATGTTCCGAAAAATTTTTGGCAGTTTATTTTAGAATCTGCTGATTGGAGCGTAAAGAATCATTAAGAGGGCGGGAGATTTCATCGATCTAGTAAAACGAACTTTTACTAGACCTTAGCTTTGAAAAAAAAAAACAAAATTTTTTGAGGATTTGACACAATATGTTTTATATTGCGTCTCATGTCTCATATATCGACAGACAAGACGTTAAATATCAGTCCAGTTAGATGGATACTAATCTTAATACAAATGCGACAGGTATTGGTACATCTACCCATCTACCCATAGTCAGCCACAACTTCACAAGGCATTACTCTAGCTATTTCGTAATGACGTCATCTTACTACCTTACTACACCA